TGAACAACTGGACTAAATACTGTGAGCTTCATGAGTTTGGCCCAGTGTCAGTAGGGGATATCCTCATTGATTGCCCCTGGGCCTCTGCTGCTGCTGCATATCCAAATCATTATCGAGCACCATCTGAAAGCAAAAGAACAAGTTTGCACTTGATTCCTTGTTCTACTTTGTGTGAATTTCAAGAGGAATTCTTGCAACACAGCCTTTGGTGCTGCAGGTGAAAGCTTCTCTGACTGCTGTTGATGATTTAAGCATGACATCATCTTTGATAAACCTGATTGCTGGTGGCTGCGGGCCACACAGATCTGCTGTCTGCCGCCTCTAAATCAGATTGACTCTGAGCACTGTTGTAGTCTTTGACTTGTGGGAGCTCTGCAGATGTTTAAAATCGGCTGACAGGCATGGCAGGGACACAGCAGGCTGCTGAACCTGGGGAGAGGGAAACAGAGAGAGTGAAGCAGACAGGATGGGAGAAGGGGTACTTTCCACTGATGCCCCCTGCATACAGGAGAACCCACATTTAAGTTATTAAGATGAAGCTTCTGTCACAGGTTAATCACTTTTCATCACAGTTAAGACTGTAGTCTGCAACTGCAGTTCTGCTTTAATATACAATTACACAAGATTGAATCACATAAGTAGATAATACAGTTTCAGATTTCCACGTGAGTTCTGTCTGTGGCCAGCCCAAACTTGTTTTCTTTTTCTGTCTCTCTTGAAAATCTTGCTCCATCTTCCTGTGTCTAAGGAAGTTGGTCAAATTTAAACCTCAACATTAAATTAAATTCCCATTTTTAATGGTAAAGCCTGTTTACCAAAGCCAAAACAATCCTTCAGTGGCAGCAAGGATTTCGCAAAGCCAGGCAGATGATGTGCAATGACCCATTCATTTCAGGCACCAATGCGGGATTAACCTGTTGTTGAGTGTTACTAGGTTACAAAACCCCTGGATTTTAGAGTTAAAAAAAAAAGCTTTAACTCAACAGGAAACTTTAAAACATAATTTTAGTTTTATTACAGCTTCGATTTTATTTTTAGTTACATTAGGGGCATGGTCCACCACTTCCCCAGAGTAAGAAGCCTACGGACTTCAGTGATCTCCTGACTTTTCTTCTTGTGCCACCATGAGGTTGACATTTGTTGTTGTTTCTTGTCTTGTGACATTCATGTTCCCCTCTGGATAAATTGTACATTTGTGATCCTGTAACTTTGTATCTAGGTCAAAATTAGACTAATGACATCCCCATCAGCCTCAGCTGTACTTTCTCTTCAGTGCTAATTAGCAAATGTTAGCATGCTAACACCCCAAACCAAGGTGGATAACACGATGAACATTACACCTAAACAACAACCAGAACGTTGACAATGTTATTGTGATCATGTTGGCATGCTGAAGATAGCATTTAGCTCAAAGCACTGCTATGCTGACTACTGTAGAAATGTGTCTGTTAAACATGGCAGACATGGATGGTGACACACTCCTGTAGATAAAAACAGCTCATTCTAAGGTAACGGAAACACAATTCCTATATTCAGGTAATTATACACCAATGAAAACATAGCTATGAATATTATATTCTATTTCTGACTACAGATCCTCCTCAATGTTACACACCTTTAAGGAGGGATTCACATTTAAACATTTTTAAATGTTTTGCTTATACCCAGATAATGATGCAAAGTGTTAAACCCCTGAGTCAATTTAAGGTAAATTGAAGAGAACAGTGTTCTAAGCTTGCAAAATGAATCAGGATTGAGAAGTTAAAGTCAGCTTTAGCTTGAAGCTTTCTTTGTCACATAGTGAAAAACCTCCCTGCTGGAGTGAAAGCATGAGGCAGCGAGGACGGATGGAAAAGCGTTGGTAATTAAAGTAGGCAGATGAGGCGTAGCTGATGACCCTTGTGTGTGTGTTTCCCCCACTGACTTAAAAAAATCAATCATGGCTAATACGAGTTGGGGGAATTGGCACACATACCATGTGTTGTTGTCAGATTATCATGATGAGCTTATCCTTTCTTTTGCATGCCTCTGGAAAACATGGTACCGCAAATGAATGAATTGGTCACAGAGCTGGCATGCTGCTTGTCATGTTCAGTGTGAAAACACAATTAGACATAATGACCGGGCTGTCACTAGAAAGCATTCATCCTCTATCTCATTAAGGCTTAGAGATAGATGCCCAGTCTCTCATTAGTACACCATAAAGTTAAAAGATTATTCCCTGTGCTTACGCTGCTGAAGAGTATTTCCAAGGAAGATTTCTGATGTTTGGATCCAGTGACACATTTACCTCTGGCTCTCAGGAATTCAACCACAGCTCTATTTCAGTTTCAGTTTGACACCAAGGCTGCTTTTTCTGCTGGGTATTTGTTGGTATAACCTTTGTTCATTCTGAGGTTGAATGACCAGATGTGGGTTGAGGAATGAAGCAGGATGGCATCGGCCCTGCCAATGAGCCTGAGAGGGCAGGGCAGGAGTCGTATTTAGACCCTGTATATATTTTCCAAGGAACCGAGGGGAAAAAAGCTGAAAAGTTCTGGTATTTAATTACAGAGCGGCCGTGGCCAGAGGCACACTGTCGATGGTAGTCTTAAGGCCGACAGCTTAACAACCTCAGGAATGGTGGCACTGTTGGTTTTGGTGACGCTGTGTCATTTCCTCCCGTGAAGAGCCGGGTTTTTTGATGTGTTTGGGATATGTGCATGCTCCAGCCCCACTGAACAGACAAAATTAAGAAGCCAGTAACATTATGGTGCTATGATGTGTACCAAAATTCACCACCACTGCCATGTCGAGGGTGAAAGCTCAGACTAATTTTAGGACTTTATAATGCCTGTAAAAGTATGTTTTCTCACGAGAATCCTTTTTGTGATAGTTTTAGTTGCTTTAAAGGACACGTCTCCTGTTTACAGAAAATCTGATTTGAGTTCAGTCCGTTCCCTCTGGGCGCTGTCAAAAGGTCCTTGTGAATTTGGAGCAGTGGACACGTTTGCAAGGACTCCTGGATGTGATGTCCCTTCGTATAGAGCTTGTGGGGTGGAGTGGGGTGGAGTGGGGAGGGGGTGGAGGGTTATTTGCACACATTTTTTGACCACTGACTCACTAGTTTTGGCAAGGGTGAGCGAACACACCATGCCACCAGTTGAGTCACTGTACATTTCCTAACAATGGGAAGCCTGGCTGAAATTGGCACAGTCCCTTTTCATGGCCACAAAGGGAGCCATTAAGGTTCAAATGCATCCGGATTCAAGTTGCCCCATTAACGTGAGAGAGTGCGCCCGGCTGTTGTTTTGTGAGTGCTCTTACATAAGGTTTCTTCATTTGGCCTGGCATCAAAAGAGCTGTTGGCCGTAGGACATGTCTTCACTGCCTCCAGTCTCCAAAAGCTGAACTTTTCCACTAATGTTCTCAAAAGGAAGATGCTCCAGGCTCTCTGAGAACTCCTCTGTACCCTTGTTTGCTCAACCTGATGAGCCATTGTGTGATACAAGTCAACTTTAATCCTTGAATAGATACTTTACTGGGGGGAACAAACATTAGAGCAAAGACCGCAATCCTTCCTGTTCCTGTCAGTTCTATCAGCCCATCAATCTTGCGCACAATTCCACCAAACGGCTCTCTGCACTTTCATCTGCAAACTTGCCCTCATGCAGCTCAGCTTTAGGCCTCACCCTCGCAGTCTGGGTCAAAGATTACTGGAAACAATATATGAGTTAGTTAGTCTTGCGTCTGAGCCAGCTTCTCACTGGAGGAAACTGCCATAAAACAAGACCCAACGCATCCCGGCCAGAGGGCAGAGGTAGGAGCTGCGGAATCAGCAGGCAGAGGGCAGTTTACAGTTTAAAACCACAGGCTAGATTGGAAAAACTCCAGGTTCGACCAAGCTTCATTCAAGTTAAGGCAGCATTCTTTGACAATGACTATCATTTGGATTGCCTGTGGCAAGGGAATGATACAGCCTTTACAGCCTCAGGACACCTGTGGTAAAGAACAAATAAAGTAAGAGTTTATTAGGGTTGCAAAAGCCGAGAAGGATCCAGATATCATTTCATTTAATCTCTTAGACCTGACATAGGCCCATGCAGCTAGTTTGTTTGTGCTTGGTAATATACAGGAGAGTAGTTTGGTACAGTGGTTCCCAACCTGGGGGTCGCCAAAGCTTCAAAGGGAGTTGATATTTAATTGAAATATTATCAAAATCACAATATGCATATCACAGAAGCTACAATTAGTTTGAAGGTAAAATGTGCAACAACTTGTTCTCCAGATGTTAGAAAACATGTGAGCATAATTTATGATACTGCCAACTGCAAGTTTAATGTAAATATTTCAGGCACATTAGGACATGGAAGGGTCTGATATTTCTTCTTCAGTGTGGGAATTTGTTTCAGTGGATATTTGGAAGCAGGTAGTGATTAGGTACCACCACCACATAGCTAGCTAGCTGCAAAAGGGGGGGGGGATTGGAGTCAAGTAGATTTTGGGCATCTTTCACAAAGACTTTGGTTTTAATATGTGGTATTTTACCATATCCATGACTGCCGTATGGGTTTCCTAATACACATCAGTTAATACTCTAGGGGTTAATTACACCCCTAGGAGACAGCCATTCCTTCCCCTGCTTTTTAATCCTGATGTCCTCACCATACCCAGGCTGTAGCTTTGAGTATGTAGTATTGAGTGTTATTTGAGTGCTACAGAGAGCTCATGTTTCATGTTGTGCCATGGCTTTACTCTCTGTGGCAGCCATTTGTCTGTTTTTTAAAAGGTGTCTTTTGTGGCGTGCTCTTGCCTCGCCGTGTTTAGCGTGGTCTTTGTTGTGTACTGGACAATAGTTGCCTTGTATGAAGAACAGGGGCCCTCACCTGCGTAGCATTGAATTAAGAAGACATGGCAGGCGTTGCAAATGGTTTAGGCTCACTTTGTGGAGGAGATTTCTTCAGCCACTGACTCCTGCTATCGTTGTCTGTTTCCACATTATGCTTCCTCAAAGGCCGTTTGTGTTGGACTTATGTGATGCTTTTGGCTTTTATGGAAGAAAGCTGTAAAAATGCACTCTGTGGAATTTCTAACTGCTTGTACTCCTCCAGGTTTTGACAGATCCACATGGGAGCCATGGAAGGATTGGAAATGGAACCTCCACAGGTAGGAAACTAAATTTCTCTTCTTTTTTGTGCTTCTGCAAAAATGATAAATAGTCAAAGAAAAGGAAGCCCTAACTCATTTTTGTTCTCATATAATCGTTATTAAGGTTTTTTTCTTCTGGGCCATTGCTGATGTTGTACACCAAAATAGCCAGATATGTCTAGGGGGCTATCACTCCAGCTTTTTTAATTTCCTTCAATTCATCTGAACTACACAATGGCTTATGGGATTTGAGCTTCCTCCTCCTGTGGTGTCAAGTCCACTTCCCCCCCAAACCGCATCCCACCACACTCAGCAGCTATTTAAAGTGTCAGCGGCTGCTCCCAATTACTCCTCCCCACGCCAAACCAGAAGCTCCGGCCACGCAAACGGAGGCCTCCCCACTGTGACTTTTATCTGTTTGTTTTCATATTTCCCTCCCCTCCGTCAGCCCTCCTCTCTTGTGCTCTTGCTGTTTTCGCCCTCGCCAAGGATTATTGTATTTTTCCTCCAGCTGACCTTGGTTACATAAACTAATGCGTGATCTCCCTTCCTTGATTCTTCTCCCTGTCCAAGTCCTCCTCCTCCCTGTCCCACTGCTCTGCCAGGCTCTGATCCTCTGGGCGCTCCCACAAAGCCTAGTGTTTTGATTACAATGTGAAATTGGAGCCAGGACTATTTATTCCCAGGCCAGGGTATAGTGTTGAGGACCTGGTTGGAGGGTATGCCAGCGAGGGGGAAGCCAGGAAGCTGTTGTGGTTGAATCAGGCGGATGGTGTTGGTGGGTGAACTGTTTATGTCTTCTCATAACCTCTCTTTGTGGGCCATGCATCCAGCCAGCTGTTTCAAATAAGCAGAACGCCTGGGGTCGCATCTCACTGTCAGCAGTTTCTGCACATAACCCAAACCCCATCTTTTAGCTTTGGCCATCGCGGGGTGGCAGATTGGTCTTGTGGTTTGAGACGCCATCCAACTGTCCTTCCACTGGATGACAGAGGCTCAAATGATTTGTTATGAAGCATACCCCCTCCTGAAGTGTTATTCAGACTGACACCAACTCGTTTGTGGAGCTTTATTGCAGGAATACTGTGCAGTGAGCACACTCAAGTGACAACAGTGGCTTAATAATCATATTCACAGAGGTGGCACGGTGTCCACAGACTGCTCTTCACTAACATAAGTCCCGTTCAACTTTGCCAACACACCCAGCTCCACTGTTCTATATTATTTATTTATATATCTTGACCTTTGACCTTTGAAGGATGTAAGACAATACAGGGAATTCCCGTATAAACATGCATAGTGTTCCTTTTTGTCTCTTCTCATCTCAAGTGTTTTCCTTTGCCTTAGATTTGTAAATTATAGTCCAAACAAATTATTTAGAATCCCCTTCTGACTTAAAGATATAATGTCTAACATTTCCACATTAAAATGTCTAGAAATGCTAGACCTATGTTATATAGTTTGAGTTTTGTACTTTGTTTGTACATTATCCCAAATGTTTCCAACCATGTTCAAACTCATACACACACAAACACACAAAAACATAATTTATTCGAGAAACAAAGTGTTTCCTACACTTGACTGAACAAATGCAGCACTCACTGGTCTTTCAGTGGCCAAACTGAAAGAACGTAGTGGTTGCTTCTCTTAAAATGTCTAAACATTTCTAAAGCGTCCATCCAGTGAAATGTTTGCTGTCTCTTCCTCCATTCCTCTGGGCTGAATCAATTTTCTCAGCTTTAAATTCATTGCAGAAATAGTGGTGCTCTGATCCGGTGCATAGATCCATATCGGGGCAGATACTGACCTTGTTAAGTTGATTGGGTAGCCAGATGTGATCCATCCACATTAAATGTGGTTTCTTACACACCAGTTGTTACAATACAGTTTCAAAACCTTCAAGATCAATATGACGTGTGTATGTGTATCTAAATTTATAGTTAAGAAATGATGCGTTTTACCTCACACATGAGGCTACGTAGCAGACTATTAGTTGTCAACTATTAAAGAAATCTCTAACTATTTTGATTGTTGATTAATTGTTCTGATTCATATTTTCTGCTTTCTTTAGTCCTCTATGACAGTAAACTGAATATCTTTGGGATGTTGACAAAACAAAACATTTGAGGACTGGGAAACAGTTTTCACCATTGTCTGGACCAAACAACTAATGGATTAATCGACAAAATGATCGACAGATTAATCGATAATGAAAATAATTGCATCACTACTGGTGTATTAAATATGATCCTAATCAGTTCCACAGGTGCTACTCGGTATAGGTCAATACCTTGAGTTTAGGTATGGAGAAAAATTAGGATTAGTGCATCACCAACCAAATCTGCTGTAGTCTGTGTACTAATGCAGCCAGATTACTTCAACTAGCTCTCTCACTGGCACTGTTGTCTCGTTACCTCCGTTCATTTTAAAGGACATGGACACATTTGGTTACTACACTTCTCAGGCAGGGTTAATGTGGACGTGAGGTGACTGAAGTGCAAACACTTAAAACACTGGTTCGCTCTACGAGACCCTGGGGTACACATTTCACTTATCTGCTAAGCAGGCTGTGTCTTTTCATTATGCAAGCCTGCACACACACTCTTGTACACATGTTACATTTCTTGTGATTTTGAGTCATGTTAGTTTGAGGTTAGGTTAATGTTTAATCATCCAGTCACCGTTGGTTTACTAGTTCACTATTGTTCTCAGAAAATTAAATCATGACACACAGTCACACACATGCACACAAACATATCTAAGGCCAACCGGAGATGAGCAGCCAAGCATTAGATTACAGGAAACTGATCAGCCAGGGTAGACAGGAAACACTGTGGGAGATTAAGGTGTGTTTGTCTGTGTGTGTGGGTGTGTGT